TTTTTTTTTTCATTCTTTTTTTCAAATCCAAAAAAAGGTTTACCTTGCGTAGTGGCAACTTACAAATAAACAGCCAAACCAGTTTGCCCACACGTTGTCAAAAGCAGTCATTCATGCGTGTAGTCTGTACACATTCTACACAGTTTGTAAAAGCAGGGTTCTACACAGTCATTTTGTAAAAGCCACTTCTCATAGACTTATGTGAGGACAAACTGATTTTGACTTTTTTGTATGGCTCACAGCTGCTCGGTTTCAAATTTCATCCAATCCCAGGCATATTTTGGGTAAAATTTCATTTCCAAGTTGCACTGAGTTTGGCAATTCAAAAAAGATGTGCCCACCATTTGGAAATTCATCATGACGGCACAAAAATATTGGTGTTAAAAAGTTTGATTTATCTTGTCTTTATGCAGGTTTTGAACCAAACAAAACTCTACATTTACTATAAGTGCACTTGCTTTTGTATTTTTTATTACTTGACTTGTGTATGTGTTTCGGACATTGATTTTTGTTATCAGAAAACAAAACATAGCAGAGTATTTCACATAGAATGAGCAAGGGAGGCTGTGGTATAGTTTTCAGGCACATGTACACTGTAGGTTATCTCTTTATCCTGTGCATACATATAAATATGCCAACAGTCAGTTAAGTCATTTACCCTTGTGCATGTATATGTTAAATGTTAATGGACAAATTTCCATTCAATTTAAACATTTCACAGTAACTGATTAATGGTCACATGCTTCATTAACTATGTTGGTTCAGTCAGTCAGATATAGTAGCCAAAAGATTGATCTTTAGTGGTGTTGATCAGGCTTTTGCTATTGCAGTCCCAAACAGTAGCAACAGCCACTTACTGAATTGTGGCTGTTTTAGTTATAGCAGTTGTTTTAAAAAGTTAATGAGATTCAGGATCCTGAATAGCATTGTCGAGATCTGTTATGTACATGGATATGTAAATTAATAATTTACTTACAATGTAAGTGCATAGCAAATCACGTGCCCATTTTTGAAATAATTTATTTGGTAAAAAGGAGTAAATCTATTAAGACAGTACCTAAACTGTCATGTTGATTGGTCAAAACATCCTTAAATTATAGGATATGTTAAAATTTTGACCTACATGTATGTTTGATTCTTAAAGGGACTGTGTAATATAAATATTCTAAAATTCTCTACGTTACATTTTTGTGTTTCACTTAATATCAATTTATTTTTTGGTTTTTTATTTTTATCTGTATTGTGGGAATTTCTTGGTTTTAATAATGCTGCTCTGTATTTGTATATTCATGAGCAAAGTTTTTATGTACAGTAATTCAAGGTACAGAACATTGATTTCTGCATCAACAATGACTGGATTATTTACACTTCACTATTGAAAATTTCGATTTCATTTGCAAGTTAATGTGTAAGTATATGGAAATGAAGTTCAAAATTTGAACATTAAAACATGCAAACTGAACAGTTTGCATACCTTTTAGAAAAACGTGGTCAATTCTTCATGCTTAAAAAAATGCACTTTACAGTTCACTGAAACTCTGAATTGATGACAGTTTTTATATATGTACGTTGAGAAAGTGTTGATAAGTGATTGTAAGAATGGTTCATTGCATTGTTCCTTGATATTCATAAAGTGTGTTGCCTTTTACCACCTTCATTTTTGAATATTAATTACAGCTGACAACCAGTAAGTCCTAAAACTCTATGCTTTGCAAATGTTGACTAATTGTGCCATATGCATTTTCATTTCTCATTGCAGAATTTCCACGAAGTAATGATGAACCACTTAACAAACAAAAAATGGGCATCATGGAGCTACGAAAACACATCTGCCCTCCTACACCAGCGATTTTTTAATTCATATGTATGGTTAATCAAACCCAGCCGCATCCATGAGAACACATTCAGCTGCTATGACAATTTTCTCCAAAGCACTACGTTTGGTGCACCAGCGAGTTTTGAGAACTTTGAGAGCTTATTGCATCTTCGTCACATTCTTCTCTCTGCCATCAGCTTAGTAAACACACGGCAAGGAAATGCAATGAGCGTGCAACCCCTTTCTAAAGATACTCCTCTTTCCATCATAGGATTTAGTAAAGGTTGTGTTGTTCTCAATCAGTTCTTATATGAACTTGAGTCAGCGAAAAAAAATCCTGAGTTATCTGACTTCTTGAAACTGACCAGTGCCTTCTATTGGCTGGATGCTGGGCACAGCTTGACTTCCAGAATCTGGATAACAGATGAGAAATTACTGCAACAGCTAACAGATTCATCAATAAGAGTAAGAGTTCATGTTTCGCCACGGCAGGTGAGGGATCCAGGAAGACCGTACATAGGAGAGGAAGAAAGAGTGTTTGTGGAGGTGCTAAAGCGTCAAGGTGCAGATATTCAAGAAACCCTTCATTTCACTGATCAAGAACGCTCTATGGAGCAGCACTTTCGCATTCTAGAGCAGTTTTAGCTTTGTTGTTTAGTACACTTTCATTTAATAGCCTGTGCAGTGATGATGCACCATCTAAAGCGAAAATTTCTACGTTCTTAAACATTGACTACATTTAGCATGTATTTTTGGAAATGGAGATCTATGGGTTACCGTTTTTTTAGTAAGCTTTTCCATTTCCTGGCATTAGCTGCATGCTTTGTTTTGTTTTCAGTGTTGGTTTCTCTGTGGTGTTGTTTTATTTGTTGAATAATGCTGAATAAATAATAATAATGACTTTTTATTGATAAAAATCATCATTTTCTCCACAAATGTTGCTTCCTCATTCATAGTCTCAAAAGTGATCTTTCTTTAGCCTGAATACAACAATGCCAGTTGCATTTGGTCATGCCAACAAAGGCAATCACTCAAGAAATTAAAGGTCCTTACTAAGAATCAAAATTTCAAAGACATTTCAAATGTAACAGGTACTGTAATGGAAGGCATTTGCTGAAATGATTGATAATGAGAATACAGGTTATTAAGAAAATTGATATATTCACATGTGTAAGAGAAACTGGTTGCAGGACATGTAGCTGTAGTTTTGACATTTCTCAGTATGCTGACGTAAAAACAATTTCTTTCAGCACAGGGTTTAGAGGTGCACAGACCGACCAGGTTGGCATCCTCAGTTAATGACCCCAGTGGATTAAACGAAGACATTCTGGGTTTGGTAGTGGAGGCAATATCCATATCAGTGATGGAGCAAAAGCTTTTATCATCATGGCCAAGGCTAAGGCCTTCAAGCGCCAACACCAAGGCCCTACAGAATAAATTACTAATATAAAATGTCTCATTATAACGAATCAACTTAATTATCGCTGGATTGGCAGCCATTTCAAGCCAATGTATTTATGTATTTTATTTATTCCATTTCTTTACCCAGGGTATGTCCATAAAGTTACAAACTGGTTTCCATTGGGGCCCTGTATTCATTACAAATTGCACTGGCTTCTGTTTAGTGTAGCTTAGATGCGGTAACTTAAGTTTCACCAGTGTCAACCACAGAACAAAAGGAGAATCACAACTAAAGGTCAGCACATTCAATCCTACGATGATAGTTCATTCCACGGTGAAATGTAAGAGGAAAGTACAAACCAAACTAAATTCCTTATACGGCTCAAATGTTTGGGAAGGGCTGAAGTACAAACTCCAACTATTAATGGAAAAGTCAATTCTGTAAACATGATCACTTAATGTAAGTAAGTAAAGCTTTTTTTCCACGCACATCCTTAAATAAAGGGATCGATCCACAGTAAAGGCAGGTGGAGTTCAATGCGCAGAAAATGAATGCATAGATTGCTCATTCCTCTCCAAGTAGCACTACTTTGTTTTAAATCTACAAATAAATCTTTAAAAAGTTACTGATTACAACAAAGAATAAAATTGAACTTCGGGATGCCCACTACGGGTTGCAATGTTCATGTAACCATCTTCCTGTCTTACGATCACAACTGAGCTAAAAGTCGAATCATATCTTATCTTTGTCTCATGGTAAAATACTTGGAGGTCATGTAAGAAATATATCAAGCAGTAACAAAATAGAGCATGACTTTCATGCCTGTGGTTCTAGGGTGGATGACAATGAGTGTACAGTCTACAGACTTGATGCTATTGGCCGGAATAAGAGATTAACTGCAAAATTTGTCAGAAATCTGGCGAGAAAATTCATAAAAAATGGCTGCCTTCACGTGCTTCAGGTTGCACTACACCAAATACCCGCCCACAAAAAACAGTGCAAAATTGGATCGAAATAGCATGCACTGCCTGTTGACTCTTGTGAAGAGGTTGGCCTCCATTTTTTTCACTGGAAATTCAAGATTATGGCCAGAAGATCACCGTATGCTTCAATTTCATTGGGGTTAGCCTACCCCCCGGAACTGTGGGAGACGACGTCTGCTCCGCTCCCACGAACCGAAAAGAAAACGAGATGAACGTGGTTGTCAACAACCATTGAGCTGTTTCGGAACTTTCTGTTCGGTGATGACATCATCACGACGTCATAACTTTAGGAAAGTTTTTTCATGAGGGTCTTTATTGAGTGTAACTTGATGTTGATCAAACCTCTGATAATTGCCCAAATGGTGGCTTGAAAATGTGTACAAAATCAATGGGCTGAAATAAATATTGAAAAATCACTAGTAAATCACATGATGATGTCATCATGAGGTCATTTTTTGGAAGAATTCTTGCACAAGGGTCTTTGTTCAATGTCACCTTCATAGTGACCAAATATCGTGAAGGTTTCAAAATAGTGGCTTGAAAATGTGTACAAGTAAATAGACTGAAAACACCAATGCGAAAAAGCTGCTCCTTTACGATGTCATGTGAATTGCGTTTAAACTGAAAGAAAACTCTGGAATATTATTTGATATTCAGACTCTTGGTATACATGTAATCAAATGAAGAGGAAAAAATATGATTATTTTTTCGTTCTCATAGTAATGTTCAGCCGAAGATCAGGACTACCCTCAATAAGATCGATAATTGCGAATTAAAACAAACGTGTACGAAATCTATTGGGGCAACTGCAGCTTTAATATCATGTCACGTGACCCCTGATGATGTTATTTTAACAATTTTTTTTAGGGAGCCTCTCTTCTTGAGGGACTTCAAGTGTACATTGAAGGAAATAATTCAGATTGACCAAAGTTCCGAGGACAGGCCGACGAAAAACGTGTACAAAACCTATGTGGGAAGGTTAAATATCCAAAAATTAATTTGAAAATAGGTGATGACGTCATCTTTACATCATAAATTTAGCAAAATTCTTCCATCAGGGTCTTTATTGCCTGCAACTTTGAATTTGATCAAACCTCTCAAACTAACCCAAATGCTGGCTTGAAAACGTGTACAAAGTCAATGGGCTAAATTATATATTGAAAAATCAATATCAAATCACATGATGGCGTCATCATGACGTCATTTACTTACAATAATTCTTGTATCAGGGTCTTTGTTGGCTGTCACTTTAATAACGGTCAAACGTCGCAAAGGTTTCGAAATTGTGCCTTGAAAGTGTGCACAAAATCAACGAGCTGAAATAAATATATTAGGGTCTCTGTTGGCTTTGACAGCGATCACACGTTACGAAGGTTTGAAAATAGTGGCTTGAAAAGGTGTACAAAGTCAAGGGGAAAAATTAAATATTCAAATTCAAAAAGAAATTGCGTGATGACGTCATCATCACAAATTTCTTCTAGGACCATCCTTGGATGATTGTCCAAAGACCTGCTAAATTTTAAGTCAATCGAAAATTGCAAAAGGGTAGAAGTCCTGCTCAGAACGAAAACCCATGTTATTGAATGGGATTTGTAGACTATTTT